TTTTTTTTGAGATGGAGTCTCACTCTGTCACTCAGGCTGGAATGCAGTGGCATGATCTTGGCTCACTGCAACCTCCTCTTCCCGGGGTTTTTTTTTTTCCCCCCCGACAGGAGCTCTTCCCAGGTTTAAGCAAGTCTCCTGCCTCAGTCTCCTAAATAGCTGGGATTACAGGCATGCACCACCATGCCTGGCTTCTTTTTGTATTTTTAGTAGACACGAGGTTTCACCATGTTGGATCTCAAACTCCTGACCTCAAATTATTCACAAGCTTCAGCCTCCCAAAGTGCTGGGATTATAGGTTTGAGCCACTGTGCCCGGCTGGTCAGGCTGGTCTTGAACTGACCTCAGGTAATTCACTTGCCTCAGCCTCTCAAAGTGCTGGGATTATAGGTGTGAGCCACTGCGCCCAGTCATCATCATATTTTCAAGGTTAATCAACATTATAGCATGTATCAGTACTTTATTCCTTTTTACAGCTAAATAATATTCCATTGTATGGATACCACATTTTGTTTAATCCAGTATCTGTTGATTTGGGTTGTTTCCTTCTTTTGGCTATGATGAATAATGCTTCAATGAATATTTGTGTACAAATATTTGTTTGAATACCTGTTTTCAATTATTTTGGGTGTATATCTAGGAATGGGATTGCTACATTTGTTTTTTAAGCCATAGAAAATTCTTCCCATCAGCTGGGCACAGTGGTTTACACCTGTAATCCCAACACTTTGAGAGGCCAAGACGGGCAGATCACAAGGTCAGGAGTCCAAGACCAGTGTGGCCAATATAGTGAAACACCATCTCTACAAAAATTAGCTGAGCGTAGTGGTGGGAGCCTGTAGTAGCTGACAGGCAAGAGAATTGCTTGAACCCGGGAGATGGAGGTTGCAGTGAGCTGAGATCGTGCCACTGCACTCCAGCCTGGGCAACAGCCCGTCTCAAAAAAAAAAAAAATTATCTTACTTTAAAAGTGGCCTAGTTTGCGTTGCCCAACAAGACGCTGACAGTCACAGCTGTGTGACCTTTTGTGGGTTACTTAAACTTTTGAGCCTCCTTTTCTACTCAATGGGGATAATAGGACCTACCTCATAGGATTATCGTGCATTCCCCTCTCTTTGTTAATGCAGATATAGTTTTTACCTGGAAAGCTAACACCATTTAACAGTCCTCCTAAGCACCATTGGATATATTTTGTTTCACAAATTTGGTATTCATTCAGAAAAAGTAGTTGAAAAGTGAGTAAATTCTATGCAATTATAGTTATTAAATGACTTAGAAACTGTGTTTCTCCCACTTTTTGCTACATTTAAAATCTAGGTGTTCAGATGTCTTTGGAGGTTACAGGCAGCAATAATACTAAGGCAGCTAACTTTTCAACATTCTTGTGTCAGACTAATATTTTGGTGAAAAGAATTCCTGTATTTCTCAAATAACTAGAGCTGAAGCAGAAATAAGTTTCAATGAGCAAGTGTCCAATTGGGCCACTGAATGAAATCTAGTGTTTTAAACAACTCTGATGTTTCAATGTTTTGTTTTGTTTTCTTTTGATCCTGTGAGCAGTGAGACATATGTTAGGTGGGTGGCAAAGGAAGAAATCCAGTAACAGAATGAGGAATTGTTGCCAGGAAGAGGTGGAGTTGGGACAAATGGGTTGTTAACTGATTTTCAGATCTTCTACTGAAGACATTAAACACAGAATGGTCATCTTTAGAAAAATAAAAGACTATGCAACTCCACAATTGAAATGGTATTTTTTTACAGTGAATGATGGATAATTGGAAATTCTTACAGAAAAAAATCAACCCAGACCATTTTTTCTAGAGCCTTTCACACCTTCCTGTCCATGTTTTTCTTTCTTACTGTGTTTATTGCTAAGACCAATAAATGTTCTTTGCCTCCTAAAATATTTTTCAGCATTAGTATGTAAATTAAAACTGTTGGCTGGGTGCCGTGGCTCATGCCTGTAATCCCAGCACTTTGGGAAGCCGAGGTGGGTAGACATGAGGTCAGGAGTTCGAGACCAGCCTGGCCAATATGGTGAAATCCTGTCTCTACCAAAAATACAAAAATTAGCTGGGCATGGTGGCAGGCGCCTGTATTTAGCAGCTACTTGGGAGTCTGAGACAGGAGAATCGCTTGAACTCGGGAGGCGGAGGTTGCATGAGCCAAGATTGTACCACTGCACTCCAGCCTGGGCAGCAGAGTGAGACTTCATCTCAAAAAAAAAAAACAAAAGTGTCACCATTCCCACAGAACCCCATGAACAAGTTACAAGATATAATTGCTTCCACTCCATCTGGCCCTAGAATTAAAGCGATTTTAGAAACTGGAGAAACTGAGGCTGGACATGGTGGCTCATGCCTGTAATCCTAGTACTATGGGAGACCGAGGCGGGCAGATCATGAGGTCGGGAGATCAAGACCATTCTGGCTAACATAATGAAACCCCATCTCTAGTAAAAATACAAAAAAATAAAAAACATTAGCTGGGCATGGTGGCATGTGCCTGCAGTCCCAACAATTCAGGAGGCTGAAGCAGGAGAATCCCTTGAACCTGGGAGGCGGAGGTTGCAGTGAGCTGAGATCGTGCCACTGTACTCTAGCCTGAATGACAGAGCGAGACTCCATTTAAAAAAA